ATATATATATATATATACCTGTTGAATGTTACGTGTTCGGAACTTCATTTGTGACGTCCATTCTCTGCTGTACAAAGGCCTTTTGGATTGAAAGTGTACGCTCAGGAGTTTTGTCGCGATATTGTCGTACAGGGTGAATCACAGTCGACACGTCCTTCCTTTGCATTCCAGTTTTGCGATTTTGCAGGTTTAATTTGTTCCTTCGTGGGAAATTTTACCAAAATGCTAGTCATATTTAGTATACTAGTGTTCAATCTATTAGTGTATACTACACTAGTATTTAATACTAATATGTAATGTGCCAATATTTAGTAACACTAAAGTAAACTAAAATACTATTAATTTCTTCTTCACTAAAGCAATTTTGTGACATTTCTTGCTTCCTTCCTTTCTTATTCGAGGTTCCCGATCTATCGGGACTCTAAACAAGCTACTATCAAAGATAAGCCACAAAATAAACCACAGAACTACTAAACACATTCAGCTTTCAAAACGAGATCCAATTCTTCTTTCTTTTTCATCATTTATTTCTGTTTCTTTCGCTGTGCCAGATCAATGGGGATATACATGGGATTAAGCAAACAGAGAATGCAAAGGAAGTCGGGACAGACCTAACACAAACGTCTTTTATCAGTCTAGCGAATCACGCAATGCGATATATCGTAGCCATTTCGTTCGTACCAATCGAGCCAAAGGATTTAATCTGTTTGGAATTTAAACAATCGTCGTTCCCGATCCCCCCCCCTCCCCCTATTGGTCGTTGAGGGTCTCAGTTAACGTTGTACAGACACGAGAAACAAATCCACAAACGTCCAGAGACGCATACACACATACTGTACATAGAAACCCATTGGATTATATATCCTAATCGCCTTCGAGGGGCTTCGTTCAGATTGCTTTAAGTGTTAGCCAGCTTCGAAGGAATCCTCTGTAAAAAGATACCCCGATGGTCGAGGAGTCGCGTGCCCTGTCAGGCTGCGACTACGATTGTTCATAATAAACGCTGTGGCGCATAGTTGTTCATCCTGCACTGCTGTGAAAGATTAACGAGACAACTTTGTTTTAAGTTGTCAGATTTGGAGAAAGGAGAAATTTGGGAAAAATTATTAGAAAGAATGTTAATTACATTGAGAATTAGTTCCAGAGCTACTAAATTCTTAGTACGCTAAATACTATTAAATACTAGTATTACTATTAAATACTACTGTACTAGATACTCGGTAGTACTAAATACTTGTACTAAATTTGCTAGAATAATTAGTACTTGAGGAACAGTTATTATAAACTCCAGTGATCCTAGAAATATTATTTTCACTGATTGAACTACTTGAGTAGTATTAAATACTAGTATGTTAAATTCTTACTAAATATTACTATCCATATGAAATGTTTATTAGTACTGGAACTATATGAAATACTAACAATAAGTAGTATAAAATACTAGTGTATATCAAACACTTAGTACTGAATATTTTAGTCTATTAAAATAATGTCACATGAGTGAAAGCAGTTTTGGAGTCTAGTAATTCCAGAGAGAAATTATAAAAGAAAAAATATCATTTATCCTTTAGATATTTAATTCTAGAGTTATCAACGTAGTTGTATCAATTCATAGAAATTTTATAATTAATTTCTCATAGTTCCTAGCGCTAGAAAAATCTCAGTGCACAGAGTGCAAGTACAAAAATTCCAAAACATGTAGACAACGCGATATTTCTCCTTCAAAAAAAAAAAAAAAAAAAAAAAAAAAAACAGGATTTTTTT